TACTATTCATAAAAGAAGTCAACTTACTGCCTAAGGAAAATTCACTTTACCTGAAAACTTGCTGTAATAAAAAAATATTAATATGCAACCGTTCCATATTACCTGCGGGGACAGGGAAAGCCCATCTTTCTGAGCTAATCTGAGCTGAAACAAGGCCAAGGAGGCAGTCTGTCTCGGCATCAAAAGTGCAGGTGGCACCACCTGCATTTGCTGGCTGTGCCATTCTCGGCTACCCTCCCCCCGAGCCCCACGTGCTCGGCACTGAGGACCGGGCATCTCGGCCTGGGCTGACGTGAAGACAACAATCTGAGCAGCGCCTCTGCCTGGTCCTGCACATGGTCACCGGCCTGTGACCGCTCTGGACGTGGAACCGGGACAGGGGCTCAGCTGTGCGGGTGTGGCCCAGGCAGGCCTCGGGGACCCCGGACACCCAGCTACACCCAGACCCAAGACCTGCTGCTCATCACCAGGCGGACCTTTGCCTTCTATCTCGAGCTGTAAACTGTTACAACTGAGAAGACAGTGTCTAAAGAAAATATCTTAAATATCCTGATGAGATGAAAAAAGCTCAAACACATGTTTTGGGCCACTGTCTTACAACAAGCCAATCTTCACACTGTATTAACTTGAAAAGGACAATGCAGATCTGAATGCGAATTTGCCAACACCAAACCCCTGCTTTTCTGTTCCAGGTAGCTTTTCACCAGAACGTGGGAGTCTCCGATGGACACGGGAGGGTGAACTCTCAGTGCTGGAGGGCACACGGGACGCAGAGGACACTGCGTCAGCACCTCACCCAACTTGGGGCTCAGAGCTGGGGGGGACACCCCACAAAGCCCCCCACAGAGTGCTGACACAAGCTGTGGACAGAATGGCCTGCCTGTCTGAGCTCTCTCATCAAGGGTGGTCTGAGAACTGAAAATCCTTGAAGCAGGCCTGAAGTCAGTTTTCTCACTATGGAACACTCAAGACTTCTCGTAGGAGAAGACAGCTCCTCAGAGAAGCCCAGTTTCTGGGGAGCCGAGTTCGGGCACACCCACCGGGTCTCCTCACTGATGGTGTCCAGCTGCTCCCGAGGCATCACAGGCAGAGTGTCGGCATCGGCCTGCCCACTGGGCGGCAGCTGACCGGCCGAGCTGAAGAGGGTGACCCTGTCGCCCTCGCCGTCAGACACATCCTCGTCACTCTCGAAGTCCTGGGCCATGGTGGCCACCACGCGGGTCTGCTGCGCGGACTCCCAGTCCTGCTCCCTCTGGCTCTGCACCTGGGCATGAGAGGACCACGGCTGGTCAGCGACATTCAGGACAGCTCACGTCTATCAGGAACCGAACACAATTTTACATGGAAGCCCGACTTTGGATAAACGGCCATGCCTATGAGACACTGCCATCTCTTAAGCAAGCAGTACTGAAGAAATGGGCAGGAGGAGAATCCAGTTACTAGATGGCCTGCTGACACTCAGGTCAGCGTGGACGGAAGGCAATCCTATCAGGTTATTCACAAGAGTGCGCTGACGGAGTCAGGGACAAAAACGCAAAATTGCAAACATACATCCATGCCTCCATCAGGCAGGCTGAAGGAAAATAAGAAGGAAAAAATCCTTCCGCTCTGCAGCCGCTGGGTCCGCCTCAGCGGTCGTCACTTGTACTAGTTCCCCGAGGAGTGCCGTCCTCCCAGGTTCCCAGCCCTACGTGTTCCAGGCTGGCCCGAACACGCAGAGAGAGGAGCGAGCAGGGGCAGCCAGGGAACTGGAGGGCCAGCCCTCCGCGGCTGTCCTCTCGGGGCACAGGCACTCGGGCTCTGCTGGGGGATAGCCCCTCGCACCGCAAGGGCGGCTCTGCCATCAGAGACGCACGGGAGAGTGCCTGCTGGGCCCTGTGCTGCCCTCCCGCTCTCACACCTCACACCCTTCTCTCTGCAAATCTCCCCCCTGTCCGACTCTCAACCCAGGTCCTGCCTTCTTTCCCACACATGACCTCAAAGCAACTGAGGGGCAGCCTCGAGGTGCTGGCTGCCGGCTACCTGGCCCCCGTGGCCAGAGCCCTCGCCCCCTGACTTCCTCACAACCCCTCCCCAGGGCTGGGCTACCCCCTTCGCTGGCAGCAAGACCACCTGCCACCATCCCTGCTCCCCTCCAGCGCACCAGCTGCCTATGGGTTCACCCCTAGCAGCCCGGTCAGCACATCCTCTCGCTTCTCTCGCCTTCAAATGGCACAACGGGAACCAGCAGACTCCTCCTCCAGGGCACTCTGCAGTGCCCACTGGGGGTCTCTGAAGGCTGCCTGGGAGAGGCATCTGCTGTCCATACAGTGTATGATCCATCTTCATTATGCTTTTAACTGTATAGTGGTGCACTAACTCTAACTTACTGCTATGCAGGAAAAACACCATTTAATGAGACACGAAGACAAACCACAAACCAGACTAACGGGACACAGCACTGATATGACCAGAGCGAGTGGGAGGATGGGGAGGGGAGATGGATGTGTGAACTACAGCCTCCGGTGGGGGGGATGGGAGGCTGGGGTCTGGATTGATGACGGCTAAACAGACAACACGATGAGTCAGGAAATCAAAACCAATGATGAAAGCAGGCACACCGTCAGAAAACTCCACAAGGAAAAATTATTCAGGACTGTTCTTTCACAAACACTCCGAAAGAAATCAAGCATGAAGCCACAGAGAAATGGCCAAGAATTTTAAATATCAACGACTTAGACAATGATACAAAGTATAAAAGCAGTGTGTCAAAAGACCACAAAATGGACGAGGTACCACTTCACATGCAGCTAAAATGACCCACATTTATTTTAATTCTATGCTAACAACGCAGCTAACATGAAATGGGTGGGAACAGAAGAAAGGGATAATACAGGTGCAGTTTCAAGGCAGAGTGTTGTACACGAGATTCATGGGGTAAACAGCAATGCACTCAGAAAACTAGGCTACACAGGCAAGAAAGCTGGCACATGTGCTTTAGAGCCGCACACTCTGTCACCAGAAGCCCTAGGTCGTCATCCCGTGTTGAGACGCGGAAGAGTGAGGCAGCCCGACTTCTTCCCTGGGGCCCTGGGGCCCCGGGCCTTTAACTGGTTTCATGCGCACAGCTGGCCTGAGCGCGTGCGGCAAGGCCCATCAGCAAGCGGACCAGTTCAGATTCTTGGTTTTGTTGCCACCGCATGCCCTGCACCCTGCAGCCAGGCGACCCCGGTGGAACATGTGCTGCCCGCCTTTCACTCGCCATGAGGGCTGCCTGTGGTAACTTTCACGAGGCTGTCTGCTCCCTGACGACAGAAACTTCCCTGCCGCTGTTGTGCCCAGCACAGGCCAGGCCCACCGTTCCAGAGGCAGGCTCTGGCTGAGTTCACGATGGCTTGCTAAGCCGCTGGTCCAAATATCAAGACTGATTGGTCCCTGTGACATTATGGAATGATTAAAGACCAGGCAGTTTTAAAACTCTTAGCCCTCTGAGCATAGTAAATGTACCTGATTTTCCTCTGGGGATAAAGAGAAAAAACAAAGAAAGAAAAACAGTGTGCTCGGGGAGGGATGTGGCAGGGAGGAGGCAGACACATACCGCAGTCATGATGCCCAGCCGGTCTCCCTCGTGCGCCAGGCTGCGCCGCCTCCTTCGGGGTGGGGAGGGCGCCCTGCTGGGCGGGCAGGAGCTGGCAAGTGAGGAGGCAGGACACAGGTTGAGGGAGCTCAGGGACTCAAAACGCCGAAGGCTGCCTAAGCGCGCCCTGCCCGCCCTGCTCTCAGTCTCCTCGGCCTGCTGCTCCGTGCTCTCTTCCTCTTGGATCCACCTAAAGGAGAGCAAAACTCGTCAGCTGCCTCTGTCAGCACAGGAACCTGTCTGGACAGCAAATTTGGGCTGGCATTCTGTGTCGCGATGAGCCAATTCCGGGAACATCTGCTCATTTCACATCTCGGCTAAAAGGTTCGACTTTCCCTCTTTTGAATATTCTCAAACTTGGAATAACTGAGCACTGAGTCTTACAAACTGGCCCCTGGTCATTCACGTTTGATTTGACTCCTTTACGCTAACATTCTGATGGGGCCCGAGTGGCGACTCTCTCCCTGTGAGGAGATACCTGAAGTTGACAACCTTCACCTTCCCTGCTCTCAGGGCAGAGGTGCACGTCAGGGCCGCAAGTCTTTGCCACTGCAAATCGGGAACTCTCTATAACCAAAACAGCGATTCATGAACAAGCTGGAGTTTCTAAACAAAAGTCCCCAGACCAGATGAAGTGCTGAGGGGATTTTTCTTTTCTTACGGTTGCATATGTACAAATGCATCACTTGATGAAGTTCTCCACCAGCTTTGTGCGAGTCTCTGGATTCATGTCAATGTGCCGCATTGACATAGAATTCACCCTTACTGCTCTTCTGCCCTAATGTGTAGTGGAGGATTTTAAATAGCAGTTGAAATACTCGATGATGCATATAAAATGACTTCCAAAATAAAATACAGGATTCTTGCAGGTCATAACCTCTCCAGCTTCACTTCTACCTATAAGTCCTGAAAGTTTTTCACTGGTTATAGCAAGCTGATGGACAGGATTTGCCATTTATAACAAGTCAACTTACTGCCTAAGGAAAATTCACTTTACCTGACAACTTGCTGTTCAAATAAAAATACTAACATGGAACCGTTCCATCGTTCCTGCGGGGATGGGGAAAGCCCATCTTTCTGAGCTCGTCTGAGCTGAAACAGGGCCCAGGAAGCAGTCTGTCTCGGCGTCAAAAGTGCAGGCGGCACCACCTGCATTTGCTGGGTGTGCCGTTCACCCCTGACTTTCCCCCGAGCCCCGCGTGCTCGGCCCGCAGGCACGGGCACCTCGGCCTGGGCTGACGTGACGAGAACAATCTGAGCAGCAGCTCTGCCTGGTCCTGCACAGGGTCACCGGCCTGCGGCCACTCTGGACGTGGACCCGGGACAGGGGCGTAGCTGTGCGGGTGTGGCCCAGGCAGGCCTCGGGGCCCCCGGACACCCGGCTGCACCCAGACCCAAGGCCCGCTGCTCACCACGAGGCGGGCCTTTGCCTTCTATCCCGTGTTGTAAACTGCTACAACTGCCAAGACGGTGTCTAAAGAAAACATCTGAAATATCCTGATGAGATGAGAGAAACTCAAACATATATCCTTGGACCACTGTCTTACAACAAGCCAATCTTCACACTGTATTAACTTGAAAAGGACAATGCAGATCTGAATGGGAATTTGCCAACCCCCAAACCCCTGCTTTTCTGTTCCAGGTAGCTTTTCACCAGAACGTGGGAGTCTCCGATGGACACGGGAGGGTGAACTCTCAGTGCTGGAGGGCACACGGGACGCAGAGGACACTGCATCGGTACCTCACCCACCTTGGGGCTCAGAGCTGGGGGGGACACCACACTACGCCCCCCCAGAGAGTGCTGACACCAGCTGTGGACAGAACGGCCTGCCTGTCTGAGCTCTCTCGTCAAGGGTGGTCTGAGAACTGAAAATCCTTGAAGCAGGCCTGAAGTCAGTTTTCTCACTATGGAACACTCAGACTTCTCATAGGAGAAGACAGCTCCTCAGAGAAGCCCAGTTTCTGGGGAGCCGTGTTCAGGCGCACCCACCGTATCTGTTTGTTGATGGCGTCCAGGTGCTCCTGAAGTTTCACAGGCAGAGTGTCGGCATCTGCCTGCCCACTGGGCAGCAGCTGACCGGCCGAACTGAAGAGGGTGGGCCCATCACCTTCGCCATCAGGCACATCCTCGTCAGTCTCGAAGTCCTCGGCCACGGTGGCCACCACGCGGGCCTGCTTTGCGGACTCCCAGCCCTGCTCCCTCTGGCTCTGCACCTGGGCATGAGAGGACCACGCCCTGTCAGCGACATTTAGGACAGCTCACGTCTATCAGGAACCGAACACAATTTTACATGGAAGCCCGACTTTGGATAAGCGGCCATGCTTAGGAGACACTGCCATCTCTTAAGCGAGCAGTACTGAAGAAACGGGCAGGAGGAGAATCCAGTTCCTAGATGTCCTGGTCACTCTCAGTTCTTAGCGTGGACGGAAGGAAATCCTATGAGGTTATTCAAAAGGGTGGGCCGATGGAGTCAGAAACAAAAACGCAAAATTAAAAACATACATCCATGCCTCCAGCAGGCAGGCTGAAGGAAAACATGAAAGAAAAAATCCTTCAGCTCCGTAGCCAATAGGTCTGCCTCAGCGGTCATCACTTGTACTAGTTCCCCGAGGAGTGCCATCCTCACAGGTTCCCAGCCCTACGTGTTCCAGGCTGATCTGCACACTCACAAACAGGAGCGAGCAGGGCAGCCAGGGGACTGGAGGGCCAGCCCCCGCGGCTGTCCTCTCGGGGCACAGGCACTCGGCCTCTTCTGGGGGAGAGCCCCTCGCACCGCAAGGGCGGCTGTGCCATCAGAGACGCACGGGAGAGTGCCTGCTGGGCCCCGTGCCGCCCTCCTGCTCTCACACCCTTCTCTCTGCAAATCTCCCCCCTGTCCGACTCTCAACCCAGGTCCTGCCTTCTTTCCCAGACAGGACCTCAAAGCAACCGAGGGGCAGCCTCGAGGTGCTGGCTGCCAGCTACCAGTCCCGTGGCCAGAGCCCTCACCCCGTCTTCCTCACGACCCCTCCCCAGGGCTGGGCCACCCCCTTCACTGGCTGCAGGACCACCTGCCATCATCCCTGCTCCCCTCCAGCGCACCAGCTGCCTATGGGTTCACCCCCATCAGCCCGGTCAGCACATCCTCTCGCTTCTCCCACCTTCCGATGCCTCAACAGGAACCAGCGGACTCCTCCTCCAGGGCTCCCTGCAATGCCCATTGGGGGTCTCTGAGGGCTGCCTGGGAGCGGCTTCTGCTGTCCCTGTCCCACCTGCTCTCCAGCTCTCTGCAAGCAGGCGCTGTGCCCTGCCCTACCGGGCAGCTCCCTGGGAGCTGGAGGAGCCCATGTCACCAAGCCCACTCCCGTCCTTGCCCAGCCCGCCGCCCTCCAACATGTCTCTCCCTGGCTCTAGGCCCGGCCCTCCCTGGGGTTATTCCTCAGGCCCTTGCGCCCCTTTTCAAAGATAAATAACATCTGATGTCCACCACCACAGCCTTCATACTTTGTGAAAATGAAAGTATACAAATGACGAATCCTTAACTGAAATTACACGATGACTGATCAAACTTACCTCTCTGTGTTTGGTACTTAATTCCTCTTCTAAGGAACTACACCTTTGAAGTGTTCGTCGTAGTTCCTCTCTCAACTGAAATAAAAGGGGCCGAATCACTGTGTGTTGATCTGTGTACATACGTTAGTGCACTTCTTATTGTACCCTCACATGATTGCATGGTTACTGTAACAGAACACCTTTAATGTCTCTCATTGACCTTAAGGTGAAGAAAATCTGCTTACTAACGGCTTTAAACTCTAAGTTTCAGAATTTATCCTAAAAGAACTGTATTACCCAGTTTTTAATTGCAAATTGACAAACAGAATAAAATAAATCTTGAGACATTTATGCCAACTAATACTTTTTAACTGGGGGCTTCCCAGGAGGCTCAGTGAGAAAGAATCTGCCTGCCAGTGTGAGAGGGCAGGTTCGATCCCTGGGTTGGGAAGATCCCCTGGAGTAGAAGATGGCCACCCACTCTAGTATTCTTGCCTGGGAAGCCCCATGAAGAGAGGAGCATGGTAGTCTATGGTCCACAGGGTCGCAAAACTCAGACATGTCTGAGCATGTACACAGGCAACGCTTTTTAACCATATAAAACTCTGAGTTCTTACGGAAAAACTGTATTTACAAGAATTCAAGAAGCTCAAAAGTCAACTAGTTCCATAAACACACGCATCGTCCACCTAACCAGGCAGCAAGTGTACAAATCCAGGACGGCCGCGTGGCTGGTACCTTCTCGTCCAGGGCCTTGTGGTGCTCGAAGAGCAATCTCAGTGCCCTGAGGACCTCCAACTCGCTGGTCATGCTGGCTGGGGACCGCGCCTGATGCCTCTCCACCGTCATCTGGAGGGACGGCACGTACCGGGAAACCAGGAGCTCCAGGTGTTCCAGCAGCAGCTGCAAGGTGGGGCCAAAGGAGCACCTTCAACCTCACACTTGAATTCAGGGCCCAGAACGCCTCTCAGCCTCACGCTAAGACCGAAACCATGCTAAGGCATGTCGGAATCCCGCCAGTTCAGTCTAAAGTTAGAGTGGACTTCCCCAGTGGCCCAGGAGTTAACACTCCACACTTCTGCAGGGCTCATGGGTTTTAATCCCTGTGTGGGAACTAAGATCCCACACAAACTGCAGCATGGACAAAAATGGAAGCTAAGAGAACTCTCCCCTCAAATGTACTAAAATTACATTAGCTTTCATCATCAATTTGAAGCAAGGTGTGAGAAACCCGAACTGATCCACCTCGGTCTGCTCAGTGGGAGGATGTGAAAAATGACTTGAAAACCAGACTTTCAAGACAGCAACATGGAGACCAGCGGTGACCCCTGCGGGGCACAGGTCAACACGTGAGACTCCGCCTACTGACCCTGGTGTTGTTCCTTTCTGCTTTTAGTTCCGAGATTTCTGCTTCTCTTCTAAGAAGCTGCTCCCTGCATGCTTTTAGCTGTCGACATGCCAACTCCTAGAAAACAGGTCAATGAGGAAGTAAATAAATGCAAACACAAATGTTAAAGAGAGCGAGACTCTGAAGACTGACACTGTCCAGTCTCTCCAGGCTCCACTCAAAGGATCTCCCTGCCCCTCCGGAGAAGAGGGGGCCCACTGACCCCAAGACCACACAGACCCCTACAACTCAGACTGGCCTGCAGCCTCCACCTCGACCTGGCAGGCACGTGGCAGGGGAGAACCCGGAATCCAAGCCTGTGCGGTAGGGGAGAACCCGGAATCCAAGCCTGCCTTCTCAAGACGCAGGGAAGTCTGAGAGACTTTCCTAAACATACACTTAAGAACAAAGTGGATAAAGAGATTCTTAAACGACACACAGACAAGTGACCGAGAGCCCCTGGGGAGAGTGAAGAAGAAAGGTAAGGTCTTCAAGGCCACCAGGCTTTGGAGTGTTCCTCTGGGAAAGAGGCTGATGGCACCCCAAGGCCGTCTGTTAGCCTGACTCCACTGAAGTCACCCAGTCATTCAACGAACTGCTTAAAATGGTAAATTCATGTTATATGTATTTTATCACAATATGCACATACGCGGGGCCGTCCACGTGGTGAACTTGCTCAAACCGAACCACACGGACTCTTTCATTCTTCTATTGTTCTTTGCACAAATACAAAAATCCTGGGCTATGTCTCCCCTACTACATACTAAGTATTCAGCACCTAGAGCACTGCCCAGCACTTTGTAAGAGGCATGTAGTAGACATGTGAGGCTGTGAGGGTGTGTGTCATACACAGGAGCAGTAGGCACCCGTCATTAGAACACCGGGCGCACTGCTCTGGGCTTTGGACGATGGCAGACGTTAAGGGGCTCAGCCTTTCTGCTCCAAGGACTGACTCTCTAGCTCGACCCACACGCCCCAGAGACTCCTCCAGCCAGTGGATCCCTTGTTTGGAAGAAGAGAGACTTTAAGGGGCTTAGCCTTTCCTTTCCGCTCCAAGGACCGACTCTAGAGCTCAGTCCACGTGCCCCAGTGACTCCTCCAGCCCCTGTTCCCCTTCCTGTGGGGCCCCCGCCCATTGTCCACGCAGCATCTGCACGGCCTCTTACAAGGTCAACCTGCTGGGGTCCATCCTGCCCAGGAGGCCAGAACGCCTTGGCCGGCAGGGCCCACGAGCATGCGAACAAAGTAAAACACAACCCCAACTCTTTGCCGGGTGAGGGCCAACCCGACGGGCCCATCCCCCGGCTGCTCTCACCTCCGGGCACTCTGCTTCCACGACTTGGGATGAGGCCAACTTATTTCTTGTCTTGGCCTTTTTCTTGGGGTTGCAGCATGGGAAAAGTGCCCATAGGATGGCCCTTCTGCGACCCATCCTCGCGGATGGGGGCAGCCCCCCACTTGGGGGCACCTGCTGTTTCTCAGGCAGATCCCTAAGTGCCTGAGGTATCACTACCGATCTCACACTATGACCACTGCTCTCACACACCGCTCTCACACACACCACTCTCACACACACCACTCTCACACACACCACTCTCACACTGCTCTCACACTATGACCACCAGCTCCGCTATCTCAAGAAGAAATGACACGAAGGCTCTGCCTCCAGCACGTCACCCGGGAGCCCGGATCATGAAAGCCACTCTGTCACAAAGGGCTCCATGGTAACAGGGGGGCTGGGCTCCGGCCCACCATCAAGGGTGCAGAGAGTGGGGAGGGGCTGCCAAAAACATGGCAGGTGTGTGTTGGGTGCGGGAGAAGGAAGGCCGTGCCCACAGCTCAGGCCCACCATCAAATGTCACCCTGCAAGGTCACTGGGTCACAGTCAAACCGAACAGTATAAACTGCTTCAGAAACCACCACCGCTAGGGATGAGCACGTCTTCTAAGTGGGCTTCTGCTTCTTCCACCCCCGAAACAAGCCTGCAGTGAGGCTACTGAAAGGGCACCCCTGAACTCAAGGGTGTGCCCAGAACCCACATGGCTGAGGAGGACTCCCCGCACTGGCTGCCCCTCACTCTCACCCTGAGCTTGGTCCTCCCTGACTGGCTCCCTCACTTGAGCTCAGCAAGGGCTTGACCAACCTTGCTCTGGGCGCTTACAATGAACCCAGAGTGGGGACAGGGGTTCATTCAACCTGCTGTGAGCTCACCTTCTTAACTTCAACCCTGGGCCGCCAGACGACTCGGCCCCATGGGGACTGCATGGTGCAGGTTCAGGGGTGGCCCTGCCTCAAGCCGTGACAGCCAGCACCTCCCAGATCCCTCCAGGGGCTGCCCCGCCCTCCACGCGCAAGTCTCCCACCCCCTCTCCTGACCCCACTCCCAGCCTCGCGGCTCTCCACACACCAGGGCATAGCCCACACTGCTCCTGGCTCAGCCTGGTCCTCTGCGGTCACTTGAGGACTCAGTCCCCGGGGTGCTTGAGGTCCTATATCCGCCTATCTCAGCAATGACAGACTCTGGGGAGACAGGGTACAGTTTGGGGTCCCACCCGCAGTGCACCCTGAACACGGTCTCTTTTTTTTTTTTTTTGCTTTATCTACTGCAGTTCTCTGAGACGTCTTTTGAAAACCTCAACTGTGGCTTTCAAAAAGACTGTAAAATCACTGTGCTCAACTTGAAGAATAAAATCTTCATTTTCAACCTTAAAGTGAAACTGGAGGGAAGATTAAAAGCAGTCATTTTTCAAACTGAAAAAGAAAACCCACAGGTGACCCCATCACACAACAGGTCACGCAGCCCCGCTCTCCTCAGCTTCTCCTCCACCACCAGCAGCCCGTCATCGCAAGGCCTGCCCTGGGCTGGCAGGCGCAGGGGAAGCAGGCACACCGGCTCTTCCGTCCCCAGGCTGCGTGGGCTGCTTGCTCCACCTTCTTCCCAAATTCAAGTGGCACTGAAAGAGCATGGGCAAGCTGGGGATTCTGATCCGAAACACAACCGTGGGTACTAAGCAAGGACCCCTGCCTCTTGTTTTCCCGGTATCAAATAAAGATGATCAGTATAATTAGTGTGATGCTTACATGTGGCTTCAGATGAGAGAAGACACCCAGAGCTTCCCCACGTCCAGTTACAAACGCAAGCAGCTTGTAGGTCAGCCTACCCAGAGCTAGAAAAGCTAAATACATTTTAAAAGAGGTCCTCAGGCAGCCACAATCCAAGATCTCAAGCAAAAGGGAAGCCCAGTGAGGCAGCTGGAGACTGAGAGGCCGCTCCTTCCCCCGGGACATCTGAACAAAGCTGACTCTGCAAAGAAAAGGCGGGGGAACGTCCAGCAGAGGGGACTGGCTGACACAGCTCTGGACAGCTCCTCGGACTGGGAAGACAAACATATGAGCGTAGGCCTGACAAGTCAGTCCTGATGGTAGAGACCAGTCTCCCTAAGAAAAGTTAGGCACAGAAAACGTACCCAACACCCTGCCCAAACTGGCTGAGCACTGAGTATCAATCACCTCGTGGTCTTCAGGAGGTGGACGGTGGGATTCAGGACCTGCCTAAAAGGAGGGGCCCTGGGAGGCACCCCAGGCTTCCAGATGGAGATGCTGGAGGGCTCCTCCCTGGGGTCGGGTGAGGGGGGCGGGGAAAGTGGGTGAAGGCTGCTGAGACTCAGCTCACAAGGACCCCCTAGCCTCAAGTCACTCAGGCCCTGAGCGAACACAGAGCTCTGTCCCCACGAGAGGTCTACGTCAGAGGAAAGCCTGGAGAAGACAGCATCACTCAGCACCTCTAGGGCTTTCCAAACGTAGTACCCAACATGCAAACAACAAACCAAAAAAGGGTGTAACAACAAACAGGACCAACAGAAAAAGAACTGAAACAGATCCAGAGGGATCAGATGCATATCAGCATATCAGAGGTATGCTAGATGTATCAATTGCAAATGTCACCAGTTCAAAAAATATACTTGACCAAAGAAAAAATTTCTGAGAATCAAAACGGATGCTACAACTATAAAAAAAAACAGTGACGGAATTTAAGAACTCAGTCTCTGGGATTAACATCAAATTAGAAATAGCTGAACAGAGGATCAGTGAACTGAAGGATGGATCAGTTACAAATATATATATGACGGAAAAGTATAGAATATATTGAAAGAACCTGTTGTTAAACTATGTTGTTAAAGATATAAATGGGTCCCCTTATGAGGGAGAAAAGACAGAAAGGGGAATAAGAAATGCCTCCAGGAGTTGGAACTAAACAGCCTATTGATGAAAGTGTAAGAGAAGAGTGAAAAAGATGGCATACAATTGAGCATTCAGAGCTAAATCACAGATTTGTCAGTTTCTCCAGAAGTAACCTATTTTTGATTCCCAAGGAGAATCGCAATAATAAAACTAAATTAATCTAGTAGGTTATTTTCTCTCTAATGGCACCAGTCCTGATTAATAGGATTTCGGTCGATCTATTTCCTGGGCTTCCCTGGTGGCTCAGATGGTCAAGAATCTGTCTGCAATGCAGGAGACCTGGGATCCATGCCTGGGTTGAGAAGATCGCCTGGAGAAGGGAATGGCAACCTCTTCCACTATTCTTGCCTAGAGAATTCCACGGACAGAGGAACTTGGGAGGCCACAGTCCATGGAGTCACAAAGAGTCGGACACAGCTGAGCAACTAATACACATATTTTCTTACCATTTGCTGAGTAGAAGCAATCATTCAGAGCATTTTATAGCACTTTCTAAAGAACGCTTAGTGCCTTAGTGTTTCTATTTAAAGTTTCTAGGATGTTAATTTATATGCAAATAAAATACATAAGAGAGTTCTGTGCCTATTGTGTATATATGACCTCAAAGTAAATGCAAAATATTTATCCCAGAGGGAAAATAAGTTAGAGTGTCTGTGTTCAAAGACTTTTGAAAGCTCTTATTTCAGGCCGAACCGTTGCTGGTGAAGAGTGAAAGTCACTCAGTCATGTCAGACTCTGCGAACGCATGGACTATACAGTCCATGGAATTCTCCAGGCCAGAATACTAGAGTGGGTAGCCGTTTCCCTTCTCCACGGGGTCTTTGCAACCCAGGGATGGAACCCAGGTCTCCTGCATTGCAGGTGGATTCTTCACCAGCTGAGCCACCAGGGACGCCCCAACAGTTATGAGCAGTTAAGGATTTAACAAATGCTAGATTGTAAAGATAAAATAATAATTCTGCTACGTTAACACACATTTTCTTAAGATCAAATGTTCTCAACGCAGTTTCAGGGAAGAAGTATTTCCCCCTTATGGAAATATCAGTATGTTAATCCCTAAGAAGTCCTTTTCCGAAAAGTTACAAAATAGTTGCGACAATGTAGATGATGTAGATTAAATGGTGATAAACATTGAGTTGATCTCAGTGAGGCAGCAGTGAGTGGTGGCCTGAAGTGAGATCTACTTCGCTGCCCAGGAACTGACCCTGGGTAGCCTGAACCAAAACCAGGAATCCTAGCCGCCAGACCAGCAAGGGCTAGAGGCTAGAAGCCAAGTTTCCCTGGATCTTTGACCAGTGAAAAATGCATTTATCATGGAGGCAGAATCGGTAAATGCAGGTACAACGTTTATTATTAGTGACACAGCACAGCAACATGTGGGAAAGCACACGGAGAAACAGCTGGTCTCGTTAAGACAGAAGCAAAGCAGAGAGACACACCTGGAGAGAAAGGTTATGGGCGCCCCCTAGTGAGAAGGAGCACAATAACCACAAGGCAGTTAAGTCATTTAGACAGGCCAGTTCTTCTGGGTCTTTGTCTTCCTTCCTGCCAAGTTTCTGGTTTCTCTCTTCCCATCTGACCTATCCTGGGACTCTCCCCTGGTGTGCACATACCCCTCAGCCAAGATGGATCTCCAACTGGAGGCTTCTGGGAGAAGCAAGGCTCATTATGGTCTGGCATTTTCGCGGGACTTTTCACCCACAAGGAGCCTCTCTGCGCATGTGTAGTGTTTCCCTTGAACCAAAGGGGGGGGTGGGGGGAGGGGAGATCTCTTCATCCTTGACTCAAGCAGGAGTTTGTCCCTCTTTGCCCTTCCCATGGCTATGAAAGTGTTCATAAGAGACAGACACTGGCTATTTACCCTCTTTCTGTTGTTACTTCCATTTCAGAGGGCAAGCAGGACACTGATTGGAAAGGCTCAACTGGAGCCCAACCATCTCTTGCCTCAGGAAATGTAAACAGGCTAGATGTCAATGCCTAACGTGGAGTCCATCTGTCTCCTACAGCAGCATTATGGGAAGACAAAAGGTAGAAAATTATGCCAATGGGGCACCACATCATGGTGCAAAAAGATGGATATAGACAAGGAAAGAAGGAATAAAAACTAAGCATGATGCTAATGGAAACCATTATGCAAGTTAATGGGGGGTGGGGGGAAACCTCATGGAAAACACTTGCATTTATGCCATA